TTTTTCTAGACAGTTCTTCTCTATTAGAATCCACGTATGACTCGGCATAGTCACGGAATTATGGTTGTTCTTGTCGCAGCTAATACCAGAAACATATATACAAGCGTACGGAATGTTCGGTAGTAACTCGTGAACAAGCGATCATTCCTTTTTGAAAACTGAGAAGATCTTTAAGAAGTCGATAAATAAAAAAGAATTATTTCTTATAATATTTAATTAATGTATCACCGCGTGTTTTTTTTTGTTGCAGCTCTTAAGAATATTTTCGAATTTAATATCTTGGTAGCTATACTTTGAATTAAGATTCCATTAAAAATAGAACCCATCTAAAATTAATTAAAAAAAAAAGCTTTTACCATCAAGTTTACACGATTCCTACTTTCCTATCTAAAATCTCTGTTTTCAATTGATTGTGATTATTGACATTTTAATATCGTCACTCAGAAAAAAAAAATGGTAAGAGGCATTAGCGCATATACACATTATTACCGAACAGCCGATATAGAATCGTAATCGTTTTTCAAGTCGCGCGATATTTTATTATTTAACATTGTTTTTTTTATCGTATCAATCGCTGATATTCGATTCTCACCGAGAATCGAAATGGCAACGCTTCGATATTCGTAGTTTAAGAGAAATCCGCCTGATTATAGCAAAACTGTATATTTTACCCAAGTTTCGTAAAGTTACGAGTTTTATCGAGATATTTGAATGTTTCGTAAAAATAAATTTTATTTAGCGAAATAATATTTCGCTAAAAATTTTATTTTGCTTCTCTCCAACTCCCTTTTTCGAATGCCTCGAGGAAATATTGCATGAAAAAATCGCGTTCATTGGAAATTGAATTTTTTATTCGTTTTTTTTATCAAAAATATCAAAACATAGCTTTTATATTAATATAATAAATATGTTTAATTCGTATACTTTTCATTAGTCATTATGACAATCCTTAAATATAATATGTTCCCATATTTCAGTGTTTCATATTTTATACTGTCCATTTAATTAATTAAACGTAATAGCATGAAGCAAATTTTCATCTATTAAAAATAATATCGTCAAAACTTTACAAGGTTTTATATAATTAGTATGTATCTCTTCTTTTCATTATTAAAATTTAATTTAATGTTAAAAAATAAAGTTTTTAAAATTCTAATTGTAGAAAAAAAGATACATATATTAAATTTTACCTAAAAAATATAAGATTTTTATCTATTGATAATATCTGAGCGGCCTCTCAATCTGCGCATTAAAACCATATCGTGTCGCATAAGAGTAACCCGTTTGGCGTGCAACGCCAACAGTAATGCATCTTCGAAGATTGTACGATGTACATCTCTGTTGCCTCTTGTAAGGCTTCGAGGCAGTAGCTTGTATCCTGTAAATTAGTTCTAATCACATCTACATATCTTTAATCTATCATTTACTGTATGGATTCCATTAAGCATCTATATAATAGTCTTTGTAAATTCTTTTTTTCTTTTTTTATAATTCAATTTAGTAATATCTATAACTTTAGTATAAAAAAATTAGTATACAGATTTATTATAATATAAAAATATTCTATGAAATATATATTTTATTATATTTTATATATACTAATATATTATATATATATATAATTGAGAAGGATAGAGCATATTCTGCAAAAATATTAACTACAAGAGGTATGTATACATATATATTATAATTTATTACATGTTTCATACATGGAGCGTTCAATGCATATGCATGTAAAAAGATAAAATTCTTTTTAATTAATAACACAATTATATCTTCAAATAAAAAAAGATGTAAACTCAAGGAAATCATAGTTAATAAAAAAATGATAAAAACTAATAGAAATTAACTTAATGATCATATAAAAATTAAAAAAAATATTTACTTGTTGATTTCTTGTCTTGGAAATAAGTCCAGCATAATTTGTCTGATTAATCGTGAGAAAGGCAGTCTGGGTATAAGAAAGTGCGTAGTCCTCCTTAGATGCTTAATTTCTTGCAGTACGCGGCTTTTCCTTTTGCGTTTGTTCACTATTACATTTGTCTAAACAATAACAAGCAAATATTAGATGACAGCATTTTAATAGTGACATACTACCTATTTATAATAATTGGGAATATAATTTAATAATTTATATATATACACACAAATGTATATATAATTAATGTAAATGTCATTTACCCTGTTTCTTTCTGTTCCTTCCGCTTCAGATGGAAATGTTCTGAAATAATAAATATGTATTTATATTAAACTATCAAGATATGTAAAATAACAGAAATCAACGCTGATTAATGAACAATAAATTAAATTATTAAATTTTTATCAGACAATACAATACTACAATATTATTAGCAATTAAGTACTTTTAATGTTATATTTATGTTGACTATAGAAAATAATCACAATAAATAAAGGAAATTCTGAAATTAACGAAAACCATAACACACACAGTTAAGATAAGTTTTGCAAATATTAACAATATCGAGGGATATAAACCTGGGTACGGATTTTCGTCGAACCATTATGTGATATCGCGATTATTTTATCAGACACTGCGAACAAGTTCAATCAAAATATTAGATACACGTTTATTAAACAAACAGACTTCTATATGTGTATTATATAGAAGTCTGTGATTAAACATAATAGGCGTCGTCGAGTTGGCGCCAATTTTATGCATAATCTTAACCTTATCATAATCTTAATCTGTAAATACATCCATGAAACAGTCCAAATAACATAGAGAGACAAACCAGAGAGAAGACTGAGATCTAGACTGAGATGTTATGGCCTGCTTTTAAGGCCGCAGCACACACTTTTGCATAAACGCATAACCATAAGTATAAGGAAAATTGATTGGTCTCCAAGTATATGCATAAGAAAATGAACCAATCAAATTTCTTATGCTTATGGTTATGCACTTATGCAAAAGTGTGTGCTACGGCCTTTAGGTGATCCTTGAAAGCGATACTCCCTCTATGGACATTGAAAACGTGGATATGAACTACAAAGCCAATGTCCACGAATGTTCTCAGAGGATAACATATACATATGTTCCTCTAATAATATAAATAATAGAAATAAAAATGTAAATAATTTAATTGTAAATATAATAATAATTGATTATATATAAATATAATAATAATTTATTATATAAAAATATTAGTATGTTCTCTCTTTTCACACTATTATTTATTTATTTATTTATTTATGTATTTCTTTTTCTTTTCTCAACATCATTTATTTATTTATTTATTTATTTATTTAGTTTGCACTAAGTAAGTCTTTTAAAGTACAAAACTAAATATTGTAAAATTTATTATAAAATTATTATTATTATCATTAAAAGTTTGACTTCAGGAAAGCGCGATAAACCAATCGAATAAATTCAAATCATTAACATAACAAAAGGTTCCGTGATCAATCGTTTAATAATTAATTTAAAATAAAATATACCTTTATAATTTAAAATTCCGCGTCTGTACTTACTGTAGTTATTTAGTTATATTGTTAATAAAAGCTATATATATATATATATATATATATATATATATACATATGTATATATATACATGTATATATATATGTATATATATACTTCTTTTAATATAATATATATATATACTTCTTTTAATATAATATCTCTTAGCAAATTAGACTAAAAAAAGAAGTGATATAATCCTCAAAAACTTACCTTCTTAAAAAAAGGTAAAAAAAGGGCGCCAAGTTTATGAACTAATTATATTCAACTTTCATATTGTCTACAAAAGTAGTGATATAAAAAAATTGTGCCAACTAAGAATAAAAATTTGTACAAGATAAATAGAAGTACAAGGAAGAAAACTTGTACAAGTTAAATAGAAATATTTTAATTGAAAATATTATACAAATATTTTAATTGAAAAAGTTATACAAAATAGTTGTTTTAATTTTCAAAAATAATAATATTAAAAAGTTAAAAATTTATTTAAAAATTGAAAAATAAAAATTAATATAAAACAAGAAAGTAAAAAAATTTTTAATTAAATTAAATAAAAATAAATTTTAAATTAAATAAAAATTATAATAAAAATATATAAAAATAATGTTAGCTATATTAAAATGGAACATATGAATTCTTTATATTTTATATAAAGGAAGAGACTTAAAATATATTGCAACATCTATATTTTTCGAATCTTATAGTTATAAAAACTAGTTATAAAAACTTTATAGTTATAAAAACTTCAAAAGAATCAGTGATTAATTTGACAAATTCTACACATGTATTAATAAATTTCTGCTTTATGATATTCACTTGATATTCAAAAAAAGTAATTACACACTAATCAGCAATACGATTATACAGCAATTTACGCTTTGTACAACACTCGCGACATTACACCAAGCCTTTTGTCATTTTGCTACGTGATAATAATGCAATATATCTCAAAAAGTTATGACTCACTCGACATTAATTAAAATCAAAATCAAATCGCGCCACTCGCTGTGTAAATAAAAACTCGTACAAATTAATAATCACTAATTGTAAAAATTATACAGAACATCGCGTTTTGAAGGATCGATTCTCGACGAACGATTCGAGTCTTCCCGCGAGAAGTCAAAATTGAGTTCGAACGCGTGACGCGCGTAAAAATAATATATCAATTCGTCATATAACAATTCTTTTAAGAAAATAACCAGTATATTGAAACAGTTTCACCAACTGGTCAATTGATCGGTTTTTATATCAGTAATTAAATCGGTAAAACTGTTTCGATATACTGATTATTTATTTTAAAAGTTTATTCATTGTTGCCGCGATGTTAACGTAGGGATAAACGGAATACATTCGTAAGTTACAATTTTATTATTAATAAATAGTTGATTTGATCATTGCTCTTTGCATTATTCGAAATACTCGATTATACGATTGGAATATAATGAGAATATAATTTCGAAACACGTATTTCGCGTGATGTGTTCATTTAATTAAAAATAGAATCGAATGCAATTAAGAATCGATGTGTGACCGGAATCAAAATTATAAATTATCATTTTGTTGCAATCCTTAGGAACAATAATTATTATTCTTTTAATATTTATAATTAAGAATATTTCGTTGATCGAATGGCAAAATCGAATAATTAACGTAATAGAAAGCCTTGTGATGTATATTAATCGTTTAATAAATAATTAATCTGTGTGTACATGTGTGTGTGATTTTAAAAATATACTTGTATATAAATTCAATTTTCGTATATGTTACGTCATAGTACGCGTTAAATATTTCGGCAGCGAGGTCAATAACACGACGTTCGGCCTTGATGACGTAGCGCTGTATTGTTTACATAGGCGAAGACCTTGTATCATTCGCACGGCGATATTCGAGTAGTAAAGTAGTGATACGGAACACTTCGTATTATTGAATTCTTTTTCTAACAGTGCGATCGCGATTAATATCGACATATAATTCGCTACGACTATTACAATTAACAATTAATTAACTCTTAATGAATAACATGAAACTATATGGCGATGATACATCCATCGAAACGCGATCCTTCGTTATTGAAAAATAAAAATTGAAACAAAAGAGCCGGACCCTTAACTCGAAGATGACTCTTGTGTGAAACGGGATTTTCGCTCGTACCGAAACCGGGAGTGCCGTTTAAAGTATATATATATTAAATATATACATCGCGCGACAAAACAGAAAATTTTTAATCATATCGAATAGTGCGGGAGTGTCGTTCAGTATCGCGCGTAAAATAACGAAAATAGCGATATAAAAATATCGCTCGCGAGTGCGGGAGTGTCGTCAAAGTATCGCGCGCCAACAACATGAGAGGAGGAGGAGCCTGGGAGAGGCATCTTGCATCGGTGGAGCAACCTGATGGTGAATATTTATTATTTGTATATCAATTGTTATAAATCGTACGCATAATAATTGGTTCTTATAATTTAAAGGAATTAAACAGAAAATTAGAGAGAAAGATTTTTATAAATATGAAAATTTCTATTTAAAAAATAATTTTAAAATTTATAAAATCTTCCCATATGTATTTATATCTGCTTATTATTTTACACACCGAATATGAAATTCCGCAGCCTTGTTATAAATGAATTTTATATTTGTATGTTTTAGACGTAGTTTTAACGACAACAATAATAATGGATAACGATAACTCCGCTGCTGCACATTAATGCCGTGGTGAGTGATTAAAAACTTTTATTTAATTTTAAGGTAACGGTAGAGATTGTATAGTAGAGATTGTGTAGATAAATCTGTTGCCTTAAAATGGATGAGCTGGTATAGATTAAATAATTTTTAATAAATTCGTTTGAAATGTATTGCATTCATCGCGAAAACATTACAGTATATTATAAAGAAAGAAGATCGAGAAAAGATCACTCTTGTAATTTTATCTAATTTATTGAAAAGAACATTAAAAATTCTAACAATTACATCTGATGCTAATTTATTCTTATAACACGTATTTATCTTATTCACTTACCTTATTCTAATTTCTTATAGCTCGTTCATTATAGAATTTGTTGTAGATATTGTTTTTAAGCTTAATGTAAAGCCAAATGATTAATTATTATAATGAAATAACTTGTAATATGATAAGTGTTATACATATATTAATTTTTTTATAAATTTATTATTAATTCGCACATCTGCAATCGAATATTCCAATTATTGTCGATTTATTTAATCGTCGAGTTTTCTCGCGAATTTTAAATCGCAATTTATTTAGTAATTTAATTGTTGATTTCGAAGTATTCTATTCATTTTGAATATTTCCTTTGATAATATACACAAAATGCGCCAGTAATCCAAATACTTTCTTTTACAGTCGAAGAAACGATCAATAATTTTATTAATGATTCTTTTTCTTCTTTCACGATTATTTACGTTATATAAAACTTATTAAATTCTATTGTTGCATATCTATTATTAATAATAAATGTCACGTAATTATCGATAACGCGGCGTTCGACTTTGGCAATATAAAATATAAACAGTAGCACGCATTATTTATTAAACAATTTATCACGGACTTTTTCGTTATGTTAATTATTTGCATTTATAATTCGATTGTTTTATTTCGTGTTCTCTCACAATCCAAATTATATTTAGATTGCCAAGAATGCTAAAGTGATACGGGTGAAATATATTTGTGATTCTAAGTGTTAAAATAATAATTATTGTCCGTGAAGATCGCAATCATTAAAGTGATTAATTAATAATATCTTGGATTCCTATTATTTAATCGATTCTCGATTAAATTATAAGAGAGAGAGATTGTAGGATTACGATATAATAATTATTTTAATACTTAGAGTCACAAATATATTTCATCCGTGTCAGTTTATCGTTCTTGACAATCTAAATATAATTTGGATAGTGAAAAAACACGAAGTAAAACAATCGAATTATAGATGCAAATAATTAACATAACGAAAAGATCCGTGATAAATTGTTTAATAAATAATGAATTTTAATCAATAAATTAAAATACTTCCATAATTTAATATTCCGCGTTAATGTATATTTATAATATATAAAATATAAAAATATTTCGACAACAAATTATCGATAACGCGGCGTTCGACTTTGGCAAAATAAAGTATAAACAGTAGCGCGCTATATGAAACTGTATCGCAACGATAAATATTTATCGAATCGTCATCAT